TAAGATTTTTCTTTCATCAACTAACTTATCACTGATGCAAGATTACCCCAATCGCTCCCACGCAATGCAAGAGCTGTTGGGGAAGGAGGCCTTCCTTGGAAAGCGAAGCTCGTGCCATACCACGCATACCCAGCACGCAGGAGCACCTGCAGCCTATAGGTGCTGCTTCTGACCGACAGTCAGGACACCCACTATCACCTTCAAGTAAACCCTCTGGATTGTGCAAGCTGTTCGCTGTTCGGTGAGGCACCAGCACCCCGCACAGACTGCTCCCTACCTTCAGGAAAGCTTCCTTCTGCTCAAGGTGCTTGCTGATCATCGGGGTGACATGGTCCGTCTCAGAATTGGGGCCCAGCTTGTCGGCTCCACCACACCAGTCTTCTTCTCTCTTGTACTCTTGTTCTAGGCTCTCTAGGACACTGCAGACCTGTGAGCAGAAGAAAGTTCCAGCCTCAGAGTTACCACCTGGCATCTCTGGGAAACACTTCTGATCAGGCTCTGGGGATGAAAGTGCTGGCGGAAGGACCAAAAACACAAAGAAGAGCCATGGGCTCAATCTGACTTGAGGACAAACACAGGCATCAGAGCAGGCAGACCTTTCAGAATAACAACAAACATAGCCAAACTTCCTGTCCATCTCTGATGTGTTTCAGGTCTAATACTTAAATGAGAAGAAAAGAGGTGTCTTCTTGGCTACTTTCCAACCTATTATCCTTTAACACCTAAGGTAGCAAAAATAATTTTAATTCTAGAATGCATCTTTTTCCTATACTTGATTTATAACTGACATGTTAATAATGATTAAATTGTCCAATAAAATTAAGCTCAAAATAAAACGCCAGTCGGGAGCCCGACCTGCTCAGAGGTCTTGTAGAAGGCGACGGAGGCGTTGACGAGCTTGAGGCGGTCTTCCATCTTGAGCATGAGCTGCTGCCAGTGTGAGGCCACCTTCTCGGCACAGTCTCGGATCATGTCCATGTCGTAGTGATTGGCCTGCAGCATGGCCTCAGCCTTCTGCTGCACCTGCAGCGCACTCTGGTGTGTTTTCTAGTGAAGGGGAAGAAAAGGGCAGCTTATTTAACAGGGGTGTCACGCATTCACTAGAAAGCAACTGGGATGGCCCAGTCACTCTGTTCTTCACCATTTTATAGAAACAATTTCAGTTAATACTCACTAGGATGCTTCTAAAAGCATGACAGACAGTTTAATAAGTTGTAACAACAACTGAGTTTATATTGACGTTATCTAATGAAGGGTGAAATGCATTAAGACTTCCCAGAATGGGTCTCAGCTGTGAGGTTCTCAGTTTACTAACTAGGAGGAAAGGCCCTGAACAGCCAATGTCTAAAAAAGCTGTTGAAATGTTCCAAGTTTATTATTCCCATTGATTCTTGTTATAATAGGCACTGGAGGCAAATGAACAAGCAGAGAAAATGACCAGAGTGATGCTTTTCCTTTTCATTTAAACTTAAACTTTTGACTCCAGTGAAAAGTCAAAAACTACAGATTTTAAAAAGAAAAGAAAAAATTAATGAAAAGCTAAGGATGAACCAGCTGTGTTCTCTGAACGTCCTGCCATATGATAAATCTATGAAAATTCCATGCAAATCCAGTTAGAATTTGCTCATATATTCTCACAAGAAAAACTGAGGTGCTGCAAGGTCAGGTTCTCTCCAGTTCTAGAAGAACTAGAATGCCAGCAGGGGTCAGTCAGGAGGTTACCTGGTCTCCATGGACACACTTTTTTTTTTT